AAAATAATTAAATGAAAACAATTAAAAAAATAAAAGGAATTAAAAAAATACAAAATAATTAAATTAAAAAAAATAATATAATAAATTAAAAAAATTAAATAAATACAAAAAATAATTAAATAAATAAAACAAATAATTAAATAAATAAAACAAATAATAAAAAAAAATAAAAAATACTTAGCCAAATAAAAAAAAATTAAAAAAATAATTAAATAAATTAAAAAAAAATAAATACATAAAAAACATTTGAAAAATTTATCTTTTTTTAATTACCTTTCTTTGGAGCATAAAATGTCTGAGGAAATTCCAGGAGAGTTCCAGAAAATAAGTAGAGGAAGAAGAACAGCAATCATATTTTATCCGTACAATGCTCAAAAGGAGAGACGACAGATCCTTCTATATGACTATCCTTTGGTATCCACCTGTGGACATCCTCCACAAATTGAAGACTATTCCCAGAAAAAGGGCATCTTCCGATGGCTTCTCCACTTTCGTTATAAAATTCGATCAACAATTGTTTAATCATGGCTTATTCACTCCCTTACTCACATCTAAATCATCATTTCCATATGCCCATTTCCCCAGCCAATTATAAAATCGTTTTCCGTTTCCCCCCCAAAACAAAAAATGCACCACAGAAAAAAAAAGATAATGTGAAATATGTACATATATAAGCCGCCATAAAGCACAGGCATTCATGCCGCTGCCGCTGCCGATAAAGCCCCCAAGTAAACAATTCCAGGCATTACTCCATTACTCATAATGGCGCAGCCGAATGTCGCGGTTGCATCCTCAAGGCAGGGAGAAGATTCGAGAAGGGGTCTGGGGTCTGTCTGGGGAGAGGCACCGCACCCGCCCATGTTGTTGGCCAAAGTTGCATAAATCTGCTCGATTCATAACATAAAGACGGCCACAAGAAGAAGAGATCTCTGGCCTTGCCTTGGCCAACACGTGTGCGTGATGTGAGCGTGAGCTGGAGGGAAATGAAGCACGTCAACCAGGCAAATACCATATTTTACCAGCTCCAAGACTTTCTGTGATTTTTTGTACACATTTTCGGGGAGAGAGGCCTAAAATTGTAGCCAAGAAACAGCTTTTGATTGGGCTTTAGGCCAGTTCTGTCGTATACTGCCTTGATTAAAGTTTAAACTTGAAAGAAAAGTGGTATTCCAATTAGTTGTTGGTCCATTCTTTGCCCATTGCCAGTGTCCAGAGCCTCACGCGCTCATCTCTAATGATCGCCAAGTCTTGTTCCTTTATCAGCCTTGTCTTCATCGATCGCGTCGAAGATTTTGTCTGCCTGTCTTTGTGGGTCTGTTTGGGCTCTTGTTCTGGATCTTGTTCTGGCTCTTCGCTGGCCTGTTCGTTCCCGTTGAGTCGTCGCTTTGTCTTGACTCCTGGCCACATCTTTAAGGTCCAGAGGCGTGCCCCTCTGAACGAATAAAAGCAAAATAATATAGAATGAAATATTTATCGCCATTAGAGCCTGATTAGCTGCGGGCGTGTTCTTACCCTCGTTGAACGTTCCACCTTCATCGTTCATCGCTTCTCCACCAACTTGTTCTCTCTTCCACTCCAATCGGTTCCAGTTCCGAGGCGTGAAAGATGTTTTTTGGGGGAGGGCGGGGCAGTTAATAAGCTTTTCTGTGCTGTGATTGTGATGGAAAATTGATATGTCCATTCAATTACGTTCTACGCCTAGCTCTTGCCGGGTTCTTGTCGTGTCAATAAACTGATTGCCATCGTGTCCAGCAACTTGCTGACCAATTAGTTTTCTGTGTTTTCGGCCTCCTCTGGCTCCGGCTCCCCCAAACGAGACTTGTCCGATCTATTTGATTGATAAAGCTGAGGCCTCTCTTCCCAGCGGAGCTGCTGGCAAAAGGAGTATCAAGATTTGTGCGGAAACTGACACCAAGTGACCAGAAACAAATTAAAAGCAAAAGTCATCTCAAGTGGTGGGTGATTATAGTTTTGGGAGACTAGAGAACTAGAAAATTGAAAGTAGAGAGGCAAGTGGAGCGGAAGTGGAGGTATTATAGATTTGCACTTGCCTATTTATGGTTTTATTTAGAACAGAAATGATCATGAGCAATCCAAAAATAAGCTATCTGGAAGGGCTACAAGGTTCCAAAACTTGATAGCCCTTTTTGGGGCAAGCAATTCATTTTCATTTATTTCTCCTACATTTATCGCAATGAACTCGAGGTCGTAACTAGATCAGATCGTATCCATTTCTGCCCAAGACAAGGTTGTACCCAGGATTTTGCAAAGGAAATGCGTTTGCGATTTTTAGGCATAAGATGATAGGGATAGATAGATATTTAGAAGGATTAATTTGGAAAACAATATCAAATCATTCAGGCAAAAAACTTTTTTTTGTATATGGTCGCTGGGTGCACCCTTGGTCCCAAGATATGATTTCAAATATCGTTCAGAAAGCTCAAAAATCTCATATATGCAGCATTATTTCTACAGAATCTCCATAAATGAAGAATTGTTTTCAGAGCTTTCAATAATTTACATTATTTTTTTTCTTTTATTTTATTATTTCCAAGAATTTCGAATTTTTGTTTCGTGGCTGTTTTTGGAACTAAAAAACACGTATGGCGCCACCTTGAAATATGGTGGCTATAAATAGAACCTGAAATTCCCAAACTGGCAGCATTGTACCGCAACACGTTCGCAACATATAGTAAGCCTCTAAGTTTACAACCTTCGCCTTCTACTGCTAGCCGAGTTCGGAACCTTATACGGGGAACTACTTGGCAAGCAGTTCGATAATGACTGCTTGTTCTGCTGGCAAATTTCTTGGGCATAAAATAAATCAAATCACAAAAAAAAAAACAACCTTATTTCTGATTTGATTTGTTTGTGATTAAGCAAATGGAAATTTAATTACTTTAAGGCCAAAAACTTGGCAACCAAAACCAAAACTACCCTTTGTTTTGCTCACATATGTCAAAATTGTAGGAAAATCGAGAATTATGGGCTTGGAGCGTTATAGTTGAAACACTGAAAGGAAAAATATAAGTTTTCTAAAATTACAAAAAATATATAATAATTTTTAATAAGTAAAAGTTTGATTTTATTCAAAAAAATGTTTTTTACTATTTCTGGAACTTTTTTGGAGCTCCTTTTACTCCTTTGTCTCTTTGTGCTTGGGGAGGCCCTACCCCAACATCGAACAATCTGCATTTTACTGAACTTTTTGACAATAAACATTTGGCCAAAAAACATGAGCGCGCGACACTTGCCGACATCTTGGCTGAGCATAAGATTTGTTGCAATTTTTGCGCTGGGCTCTCTTTTGATTTTTTTTCCCTTTGTTTTCTTCCAGTTGAACTTTTCATTTTTGCTTGCATATTTTTATGTGGAAAATTTTTCAATTTCTGCAATTGCAACTTTTGTTTCAAGTTGTTTTCCAGAGCCCTTTCCCTGAGTCGCTCGCTTTTGGGCGACTTTTGTCTAAATTATGCATACAAAAGTGTCGCAGCCACTTAGAGAGAAAGCACAGCGCATCAGAGGCATAGAAAGAGCACAGAATAAAAGACACAGAGAGGGGGGAGAGAGGGGGGTTGATGGGTTGAGTAAAAGTTTGTCAGTGCTGTGCATTTTCCGCTCGAGAAATACTTTTAACACTTTCTGTTTGCCTTTTTCCAACAAATTGAAAACGAAAATAAAGGATTATAAGCGATGGGACAGCACAAGACGCGGGTCGGATGGGGATTTGTGGGGAGGGGGGGCAGACCCCCCAGATGGGGATTTGTGGGGAGGGGGGCAGACCCCCACCCCTTCTGTCTGGCGGGTTTTCTGTTGTCGCGACAAAATCCTTTTACACTTTATTAATTTTATTTCTCTGTTGGCTTTGATAATTTGCAATTTTTTTTCGGCCCCGCCCCGCCATTCGCATTTTCCTCCTCTTCCACATCAGCGGTTAGCCATTACCGAAGGGCTACAGCCTGCTGTCGGCCTGGCTCTGCGGTTAATTGCCAGCAGCTTCGTTCTTGGTCCAGTGGCCAAAAGGTACAGGCCGGAATTATTCAAAAGTTTGCACCGAGGCCGGGATAAGACCTTGTGGGCCATGGCAAGGAATTACTTGCGAGTCAATTAAACTTCAGGGTCGCGTTTTTTCGCGAAAAGAAAATTCATTAATGCCTAAATGGGCGATGATAGCGGGGCTGTTGCAAGTAGTTTGACAGCTTGAGGGGTGCGATAGAGAGTAGGAGAGGGGGAGGGGTACAGAGGGGATCTTGGAGTCTGGCATTTAGCCTAGGGATCAAGGATCTATAGCGACCCAAGAGCTGCTTTATTCCTGCCTATAAACAGTCCCTTAGGAAGGCATAGGAATCGGTTCTATCTGAGAGGCAGATGCCGACATTCAATGCCTTTTTTGTTCATCTAATTTGTTGGAGTTTCATAGAATTAGCTTAACTTCAAAGAAAATCAAAATTCCCTTGAAATCAACGGCGTATTTCCTTACCACTAACCCCTCTCTAATCTCTCCAATCAGCTTTCTAGGCCATTTCCTAGTCACATATATTCCGCATTCCCAGAAATGAAATAAAACCCCGTTTATCACTGCACTTTCGCGCTTAGCCTTATCGCAACCCGTTCCACATAATCTCAGGTCTCAAGACCACCACAGCAGACCCTATAAATCATCATTATAAGCATATTTGCAACTGTCCCGCTAAGACCGCCCAACAAACAGACAAACAAACTCCCAGCCAAGTGCTAATTGCTATAATTTTGCAGGGGGGGAAGGGAGTAGAGCGGAGGGATGCCAGGAGCCGAGACCCACTAACCACGTACTCCAGCCAGCGATAATGTTTGTCAAGGAAGCAGCAGCAAAAAATTGTTGAACATCACAGAGGCGTGACCAGACAACAATCCGAAACCCAGAGAGGGAGAGGCAGACACTTGTTAGCTGCTAATTAGCCTGGGCTAGCCATGCCCCTACGCCTTAATGTTTGTCGAGAAGGCATCCATCCAGATACAGATACTTTTTCAACGATTTATTTGCTCCTTTCTTCGTAGGCCTTGGCGTGGTCCAAGACCAAATCATTGATGAGGCTCTTGACCTTTTCGGCAAATATAAAGTCCAGGTGGCCCCAGGTGGGCTCCGGCACCTCGTGGAGCAGCGCCAGATTGGGCAGCAGCTCGGGCAGGCGTGCCACATCGTCCTTGTTGGCCGAGCCATCGGATAGGCCGTAGTACAGATACAGCTCGGCGGTAATCTGGGTGAGATCGTATGAAGGGGGCTCCGCCACACCGTAGTACGCCAGATTCTTGCGGCTGCCCCAGTCGTAGAGGCGGAACTGGTTGGAAGTGTAGGACTGGATGTAGTGGATGGCCTGATTGGAGGAAACGCCAGCGGGATGGGTCTCGACGATTTGGGGGAGGAGCGTCTACAAAGAGGATGCATGAAGTGTTGGACAGACCTGAGGATGGGGGCCACAACTCACCCTATTGAGGTTACCAATGTCGGGGCCACCCCAGAGAATGGCCAGTGTCTTGCAGTAGCTCAATGTCAGCGGCTGGTTGCTGCAGGTTGTGTCCAGGAATCGCTGAAGGAAGTCGTTGTGGGGCAGCAGCACCTGGTTCTCCAGCAGAGCCGAGCCCAGGCCCGGCTCGCCCAGGACTGGGGCCGTGGCCACTATCAATCCCTCGGTGGTGTTGCCCATAAACACCGACGGGGCCAGCATGTGGGCCGTCTTGATTTTGGCATTGTACTCGGGCCTGAACGAGCCCATCACAAAGAACGAGGTGCAGCCCTGCGAGTGGCCCACATAGTGGAGGGCCCGCTCCTGGGTCAGCTCGAGGATGTAGTCAATCATGGCCGGCAGATCGATGGCCCCAATCTCGTGCCAGCTGAACTTCCAGAAGTACGGATGCCTCACGTTCAGCCGGGTGTTGTTCCGCGAGTAGAGATTGCCCCGGGCATTGCCCAGCCAGACGTCGTAGCCGGCGTCCGCCAGGTTGTACGCCAGAGCATCGTCCGGCCCATTGAGCAGGAAGCAATCCGAGCAGCTGAACAATCCGTGCATGATGAGCACCGCCGGCCGCTGCAGCTGGCCATTGTTCAGCCTCGGCGAGTGCGGGATGCGGAACAGGTTCAGCACATAGCCGTCCGGGGTCTCCACGTAATGCGATTCGGCCGGGTAGCCCTCCGACTCGATGCGTTCGGCCTGCAACGAAACTCACGCTCAGCTCTCGAATCTTATTTGAAATCTGTAAATCTCTGTCCCACCGAAGTCCTTAGTCGCTTGAATGGTATGTCTATAAAAGGATCAAAGTCGTCCGTATCTTTGGCCACTGCCAGGACCGCTGTTATGGCCAGAGCTGCCAAAAGCAGTTCCTTCAACATTTTACTATGGATTCCTTTTGCCTTCTGCTCGACGAGAAGCCTCCTGCACGACTGTTCTACCGGGAACTGACTTTTCTACTGTGTTTCTTTCAGTTGATTCCAATCTAATCTGGCGATTAAAAGTCGAGATGTGTGGGGTCCGATACGCGATACCAGAAATACGCGTCTAAATCCAAGATTTATATACTTTCGGCTTTCCATTTATTAGATTATTTTGTTTTGGCGAGGAGGCACACAGCGATATGGTTAATTATTTGATGGCTTTCAACGACCCTAAATTAAACACACTTACCTTGTGCTCGAAGAGCCCAGTACTCAAGACCCTGAAGGGGCCACAGACTGTGCTTAGGCGAGTTATTTTAATAATCATACAATTAGCCTATGTTTTGAGCAGACCATTGGCCTAGATAGGCCTAAAGACCTTAAAGGTGAAACTAATATTAAAAGCCTTCAGAAAATACTTAAAAAATGAAGTAACAAATGCCTTTAAAGGTAAATAAATTGGAACGACTGCAGCTAAATCGTATAACAGTTGACAGGGAAACCAAAAACAATACCGAAAATTGTGTTCCAAACAAACTTTGACCTTCCTTTGAGGGTCCTTCCTTATCAAAATAAATCTTAAGTTGGATTTGAATTGTTCAAAGTCACGAATGCCATACAGCGGATGAATTCTTTACCATTTAAAGCCACAAATAAGAGAATGTCCCATGCCCAGGACAAGCCAATGCTCAAAAAAGACTTGAGAAGTAGAAACCCAGAATGTGAGAAGCATCTCAACTCGCTTTCAGAGCAAAAGATGGCGACGGCGGAGCTCCTTATAGCTATGGAACAGGGGCCCTTAGATATAGCTAGTGAAGGATACAGGAACAGACCCGCAGGTCTGCAGATCCCTCGTACGACAGGGAATATAGGCTTACAATATCTCCCCATGTAGTGATTCTAGAAAGTCTGGAGAAGCGCCTTCTGGTAACCCAAAGATATATGGTCCATAGTTGATAGTCTCTAATAGCAACACCCAAATTTATAAGCTAACGAAAGACATGTTACCAAGACCCAACAAGTGTAATGTTTCCCTTCAAGCATTGCTCAAGAATTATACGCTTTTCCGCGGAGGATCTCCGCACTATCCTTCCCCATTGGCCAATTTCCAATTCCCCCCAATTTCCCAATTCATTCCAGCAGTAGAGCGCATAAGTATTATCCCATTCACAAATATGTAGCTTCAATCACAGGCCACCCCCTCCACCCCCCTCGGTACCCCAATACACCCCCCCGCAGAACGCAGACCAATTCCAATCAGGCAGAGCCCCAAGTGGAGTAAAGAGCCCCGACACGCGTATCAACGAGTTGCGCCTGACTTGCTGCGATTTTTGCATTATGCCAGTGAATTGTAATGCGGCAAGATAGTGCGGAGTGGCAGAGTGGGGAGTGGGAGTGGGAGGATGGTTGCAGGAGCCGCTGTAGGTACTCTTCTGGTGGCGGTGGCTCCACACTGAGATTGGCATTAAGCATGGCAAAAGCCACAAATTGCGAGCATCGAGGGCTGTCATTCTCCACGAAGCTCTCTCTTCACGTGGCCTTACTCATTCTTTGTGTGTGTCTACAGTGAGAGAAAATATTCATAGAGTTCTGATAGAAACAGGATATAACAAGCCTCTATTCAAACCCGTATCATAGACAATACTTTGATTCCGCCTCTGAGTCTCTGTTGATCCCCAAATCCTCTAAATATTTCTCTCAGTGCATGTGTCTGACTGCGGTTGCCTGTGTGTGTGTGTGTGTGTGTGTGTGCCAGTAGTGTGGCATTGTCATGCCAATGTCGACGACGACGCCGACGGATGTGCAGAGGAAAGAGAGATAAACCGAACCAAACGTAAATGCGGTTCATTGAAATTATGTGAAGCGGAGGCAGAGATATAGAGGGGGAGGGGGAGGGAGGGGGACGGAGTGCTGCACAAATGGGAATGGCATACATTTTGTGGAAATTGCCAGGAAGGCAAAGTACAACAAAATACAAGACCATCCATCCAGCAAAATAAAACAGCATGAAACAGAAGTTAGAACGCCATGTAGGAGATAGGGGAGTATTTCGACCATTGGATACTCAGCTGAAAGTCGAAAAAATAGGGAATTAGGTAAAGGAAAATTACCTTACTTTAAGGGGTTTTTGGGAGGTTGGAGGGAGTCCTGGAAAGGTCTGAAAATTAATGGATTTTGGGTCTGATTTTTAGATGAAACTGTAGTCCAGTATCCAAGGCATTACCACTTAGAAGATCTAGAATATATATACCTGTGGCTTGGAGTCGGATAAGACATCTTCCTTCTGCTGAGAGTGGGCTGCGTCTCATTCAGATTCACTCTTCTCTCTTGAAAGACGTAGGATCAGATCCAAGGCATTCTCTTTCTCCACAAACTCTTCTCTGGTGAGGTCGAATCCAAGATGAAGAAGAGAGTAATGCCTAATCGGGCAGGACGGACAGCAGAGGGCATCTTAACAGGCATTACTTTCCTCTACATCTTCCACTCTGTCCTTCAAACTACTCTGAATATAAATCCTTCCTTAATTACCATACAATTTTTCCATCTATTTTCCTTTGACACTTGCGCAGAATGAAGAATTTATTTAAATTCTCTTTAATTTGTAATTGTTGTCTCTGAAGAGTTGCCATAACCTGCCTGTAGTGCCATTTATATTGTAAATTTCTCCTTTATTTCTCCCTAGCTAAAACCCTACATTTTTCGGTTATGCTCTTTCAAACCCCTGACTACCCTGTACAAATACTGCAACTATTTTTTAGCAGTGAAAATTGCAAATGTCAGACGAATTAAGAAAGAAGAAAATACAAAGTTGTCTACTACGAGTAATCGTGGAAGAAGTGCCCTTGCTCGTTAGTTCGTTGGAGAAATTACTTTGCGGTTGGTCTGTGTTTCGTCTTCCTCCGCCAGTCGTCACTCGTCAGTCGTCAGTCGTCACTTTCCACTCGGAATTCAATTAAACGACTTAATTGGTGGCCTGATGAGTGCCGACTGTTTGCCAAATGCATTTAGATTGCATAAAAATTGGTTTTTTGCTGTCTCTGTTGTGGCTTTAATACCGGCCATGGGAATCGTGACTTATCATAAATCTAAAGTTACGCCGTCGCGTCGCTGCTGTCTGTTGTCGGTGGCCAAGACACCAGCCGTAGCCCGCCATCAAAGTGTCAAGTTGGCCAAGTCAAAAACCCACTTGCTCAGGCGTCGCAGAGCCCCTGTTCTGTGTCCGGGGGGGTCAGGGCAAAGTTGAATGTTAAACGCTTCGATGGTCTGTGGCACCTTTGCGCACACCACCAACAAATCAATGAGCTCTCCAACAAAGCTTAGCCATTTGCACTTTGACCACTTAAAGGCAATTATGGCTGGAGATCAATTACCAAAAATGGTTTTATTTTTAAAGTGCAGAAAATTCAGTCTAGCCTTGGTCTGGGAGTCTCCTCTTGGGGCTTGATTTGCTTGGTATTAAATGTTTTGAGTGGCTTTTCTTGGCTGTCTCTTATAAATTGATATTTTTTAGACTGTTTTAAGCTTCTGCCGCTGCAAGGCACAACATCTTATGGCTTTCGAATCGATCATTTCTATTGACCGCCACCCGTCGCATCCAAGGCCAAAAGCACACACGCACTCAAAGCTCTGATGATTTTCAGACATCTAGTCGTATGCGCGATATATCAAAATGCAATATTTCCACTAGAATAAATTTGTGTATTTCCCCAACGACTATGCAATATGGCATGGCCGGGCATGGCAACAATTTTATTTATTTTTGCCTGCCTGCTGGCAATTGACAAGCACAATAAATTGTGATATATGGGCGCAGTCTCCGCAGCCTCCCCGTCCCCCTCCCCCTCCCACTCCCCGTCCTCGTCTAGGGGAAAATATTAAAATGCGGCTGGCAGGAGCCTGTGTAGGAGTCCAAAGGATGCCCAGGATGTGCCAGAGACCGTGTGAAATGAAAAAAAATATAGATACAACAAAATTAAATCAAAAATATAGTTATGTTTATAAATACCCTAAAGGGCAGTCTTCTATTTCGGGATATTAAAAGTAATTATGTAAATTATTAATTTTGAAAATTAAGCATTATTAAGTAAATTATTTATTTTGAAAATTATTTTAAAATTAAGAATTATTAAAAAGTAATTATTAATTAAATTATTTATTTTGAAAATTTTCTTAAAATTAAGAATTATTAAAAGTTAATTATTACGTAAATTATTTATTTTAGAAATTATTGTACAAATAAGAGTTATTAAAAAGTAATTATGATGTAAATTTTTTATTTTGAAAATTATTTTAAAACTAAGAATTATTAAGAAGTAATTATTAAGTAAATTATTTATTTTGAAAATTATTAAAAAGTATTTATTGAGTAAATTATTTATTTTGCAAATTATTTTAAAATTAAGAATTAAAAAAAAAACTTTTAAAATTTAAAAAACCCCTGAGATATATGCACCGCTCTCTTAGAGATCTAAAATTATTCCTGTTACTTCTGCCTACCTTCTGGTCATGGCCATAACTCCCCTTCGAAAGGGTATACTTATGCGGAGCCATAAATTTCAAAAAACTTGCCGACTCGGGAAAAGGCAGGCAACTTCTCGCACTTTGGCACCCATTTGCAAGATAAATTGCAAGTGAAAATCGTTTCATTTCTCTCCCTCTCTGTAAATAATTTTTCAAAATGCATAATAAATTGTTGCACGAATTAAATGGCAGCATCCTCAGCGGGCAACAATTGCATCTGAAACAACATCGTGACATGTCAGCGACAGGCTGCCACCCGTGTCTCTGTCCGGCTTTAATTATGTCATAACATTAGCACGCGGCGGAGAGGAATGCTGCATGCCCGAAAACACGATATTCTACCGTGTTTATTTGAAAAACAAGCCGGAATGGGCAATGTGCCTGGGCAGCACGGCCCAGCAGCCGAAACACGTCATTAAATAGGTGACATTTGACCTTCGTGGCAGTTCCGCCGTTTTCATTGGGTGGAGGCCCAGGCT